AACTCTTCCATCCCCTATTTATAGAACATCAGAAGTACTTTGAAATTGCACAGAGCTCTTACTAATCTATCAGAGAGCATTCAGCAAGGGTGAGTAAGTGTTACTGTTCCCACTACAGAGGTAGAGCACAGGGCCGAGACTGCACAGCGAGTCAGTGAAAGAAGTCTCCCAAACGCCATACTGCGGAATGGCAAATACCGCCTCAGGCAGAAGACAAAGTTTACCTGCCCCTACTGTTGCCATGAATGTGATTGCACACAGAAATAGGAACAAATGAAGAGCATGAACACAGTGTACACGAGGATATCTTACCTCCAGGATCAATAAGTCAGCTCATGATTTTGTTTGGTGCTCAGGCAACAAACACCCCGGCAACAGAGGTCTCAGAAATAACAAAGCCAGGCTGATTTAGATAACCTGTTTTGACACCCAATTCCATAAAACAGGAAAGTTCCTAAGTCAGACACAGACAAAGCAAATCTCCCAAGACAGCACACATTCTGCAGGTACATAAGTTCTGGTTTTCAAAGGTGCAGTACACTTAAGAATTCCTGGTGCCTTAACTTGGAATTGCAAGCACTCATTTCTGAATGTCTGTCCCCAAGTGCCACAGGCCACCCACCTTATAACGCACTAAATGTCCCTGCCTTTTGTTGTGATGTTCTGCACTTGCAGCTAAACACCAATAAAAAGGTGCACAATTATTTCTGGTCTTCGGAAATATGAGTCAGATTTGAAATTTCTTTCAGTCTGACCCTTATAATCAAAAGCCCCAGTGATCAGTGTAAATGAGGGGCAAACACATTGGCACCACTGAATTCTGGAAGGTAATTTTTGATCCCTAGCCAAATGATCACATGTAGTGCTCACTAAATCCAAGTTCCGCTGTACACACACAATACATTTGTTTCCTTGTTTGAGGCAGCATGGCAGTAGTCGCACAACAAAAAGGAAGTATTTTCCAGGTGCTTTTCAGATAGAGCAAGATGTGCTGACCTTATCTGTTACATGTGAACACACTATTCTACACCCCCCACTTGCGCCTGCAGCGGATTATGCCTCCCGAGGTCCCAGCACTTCTCCCTGCAATGGGAAATGCTGTGAACATTCTTTTTTTTTTCCCGAATACAAACATACAAACCTGTGTGTGAAAACAATTTTGAAGGACGCACTTCAGTCTCCTGCTTCAGGAGACGTATAGGGAAGACTAAAAAACAACATCTAATGGAAATCCAAGTGCCAGGCATTCCATCATTGCTCAAAGTTCACTAACAAAGAGCTGTAACTAGACAGGCTCCCAACATTACAGTAATTTGCCATTAATGAGGAAACAGATGCTGGATTCCCATTTGTGTCTTACATGAAACCCAAGCGCTTTGGGACAAAGGTCTTTGCTTAGGATGCCTCTAGTGGGCAGAATTCTTTGCTGTCCCCAGGTGGGTCAGCGGAGTCATTAACGTTTACATCAAACCTCAAGACACCCCTTATGATTTGTACTTGTTTGTTTCGGTCTCTGGATGCTTTTCAGTAAGTGTAAAAGGACAAAGGGCTGCAAAGGTATTTACCTCTCAACATCACCCGTGAAAACAGTAACAAAGTGAAAGATGTGCTCCAGAGAATCAGCAGAAGCCTCCAAGATGTCATCAGCAAACCGCCGCAGGAAAATGAAGAAATCACCCAAATTATCAGCAAAGAATTCTGCGAATAGAAGTCATAAAAATTAGTGTCTCATCAGACGCTCTTTTCTAGCCTTCCCTGTGGGATTCCCCTCTGTGCTTCTCATGGTGATTAAAATTAACATGGTAGTTTAATGCCAATAAAAAAAATGAAGCAATTACTGAGAAAGCCAGCACAGCCTGTACAAACTATATCCCTAGACCTAACAGGAACAACTTGCACTTACATATATAACCCTAAAAGTCCTCCATACCAATAAGATTTATTGTTCACTAAGATGACTTCACCCCACTAAGGATGTTAAATTGCGGTTAACTGACTAGTCAAGTAGTCGATGGAATTTCCATCCAATACTCGACTAGTCGATAGGCACTTGTATTTCAAAGGAGGAATGCGGAACTCCAGTACAGCCTGGGCCAGTAGGAAATCCCACTGACTCTGGGCTGCATGCGGGTGCCGGAAGTGCCCTCATGGAGCTTGGGGTTAGTGGGGGACTCAGAATCCCCCGCTGACCCTGGGCTCCATGCCGTGCAGAGCCTAGGGTCAGCTAGGGAGTCCCCAGCTGATCCCGGACTCCTCATCTGCCCTTTTGAAATGCGGAGGCAGCGTTTCAAAGGGGCAGCTGTGGAGCTTGGGATCAGCTGGAGACGCCTCAGCTGATCCCGGTTCCGTGTGGCATTTCCTCAGAACTCAGGATCAGCTGGAGAGTGATCCTGGGTTCTAGGGAAATGCTGCGCGGAACCCAGAGTCAGCTGGGGAGTCCCCAGCTGACCCCAGGCTCCACAGCACTTCTGTGTTTTAAAGTGACAGTGCTGCACAGCTGATCCCTGGCTCAGCTGTGTGGCATTGCCACTTTGAAGTAGCCCTTCCCCACCTTTGCTGCCTTTATCTTATAGAGGCAGCAAGGGCTGGGGAGGGAAATTAATTAGTTGACTAATCCACAGACTATCTGATAAGCAAATGCTTATTAGACAGTCGACGAATCCTTAACAACCATGGAGGCAAGTCACTTTGGGGTGAAATTTGGCAGCTGTGTAGCAGTGCATAATTGTAAACAACATCTGAAGGATCCATATCCAATTGAAACTGCAGGGCTAATGATGTGTGGTTACATTCTGCCTCAACTGGATGGGGCAGAACATCAGACTCTCCAGTTCCTACAGAAAGTGCTTGATACTTTTAAAAGAGGCCAGAACCTTAGTTTGTCTCATCAGAAAGACAGCACTTCCACCAGTACAGTGATCCTGTTCACAATCAGGGGAACTGGTTCAGTGCTAAGATGGAGCAGTGCTATTTACTGGGCCACCACCATCACTTCCAGGAAAATCAGAATTTCCATGGACAATTCCCCATGCAGTGCACATTCGATGCAAACCCAGCTGTGCACAATCTGTTGAGAACCACAAGTTCACACTCTCAGGCATTTCTATGATGCATGTCACTTTGTTATCTGGGCTTTGGACATTTTGGCACAGAATTTCCCCTTGTTTCTGTACAGATCCTACAGCCCTGATTTTGCAAGTTCCTGCAAAATGCAGGCACTCAGCACCTCCAAAAGAGACAGGCCATTTACTGCATAAATAATGCAAACTGAAAAGGGTGCTAAAGCTATTTTGACTCCTTCACCCTCTCTGTTAGTGGTGCGCTGGTCTTAATGAAAAGCAGTGATCTCTACCTGGAACGTAAGCCAGTGCACTGTGCTTCAATTCTGGCAAAGGGAACGTCAGGTCTACAGGCTCAGTGCCTCGGTTTCCTATCGCCAGCTGGACCAGGAGAACTGCCATGGACACTTGCAAATTCAGGCAGTTCTGTAGCATCTGTGGCTCAGTCATGGATGTTTTGGTGGAGAGATAGACAGTCATCAGGCGTTCAAACTGCTCCCGCAGACTGTCTGCTGCAGGGCTGGAACTTTGTTGAGCCTCTCGCCAGGCTACCTGCAGCCGGTGAAGGCTTTGGTTTATCTTTACCATCTGATCATGCAACCTGTCCACAGAACAAAGATGAGAATACCGGAGAAGTTGAGAATCGATTTAGTACAGATGGCCCACAGAGATCCTAAACATGCCTATGTGCAGAACACTGAGTGGTGGTGTGCAACTGGCAGAAGTCGCTGAGAAGGCAGAAAAAAGCAGGGCATGGTACCAGCTTTACAAACTGCTCCATTCCATCTGAATAAGCAGAAAGACTGTTGTAACTGAGTGAGCATTATTTAAATCCACTGTCCTCAAATTATCCACCACGAATAATTCTGTCTGCTGGACTGCCGAACGGCATGTTACCAGAATCAGACAGCGAAGGACTGGGAGGGTGCAGTTCCAGAAAAGGAGCTCTCTTACAAACTAATCTGGAGAATGAAAACTCTGGTGATCCATCAGTGCTAACTCTGCACCGGATGGCTAGCTTGGCCTAAGCAGCTGTACATCCTCTCAGTCTAGCAGAGTCCCGGATGTTCTAAGTAATGTGGCGATGCCCGCAAGGTGATACTTTGTTTCCCAGCAACAAACCATCTGTATAACTTTTCTGGCTTTTTTGATATTTAGAAAATAAATCATATGGAAGGTGAGTACGCCTGGATCACTGGTGACCCCGCAGTATCCAGGTAGCTATTCACAGTGGGAGGCTAAGCAATCAGTACGCGTTAGCCTCCTGCACTTCCTGAGAAGAGCAGCCAATTATCCTCCTAACTTACTGAAAATGAAGCCCACTCACTATGGCAGTTCAAATACTCTATCCAGAGAGAGAGATGCTCTCCGGTACAGACAGGAGATTTGGGCCATTTCTCTCCTGGGGAAAGATCACAGCAGCCAATGAAAATGATAATGTAAACTACCAAGGCCAGGAGCTGGGCATTATCTTTGGGTCTAACTGAAGAGATGGACCCCTGGTTCAAAGCCAAAGCAGAGCTCCATCTCTTCAGCAGACCCAAAGATAAGGCCTGGCAGCTATTATCTGAGCACAGGGGAAATAAGCCCCATGCTGATTTGTCATCTACAGCTTGGAGCACAGGTGTCATCAGAATAGTCAGAAAAACAGGCCTAACAGTACTGGGCCTTTGGATACAGAACAGTACTTAAAAAAGCCACCTGTCCCTTAATTTAGCATTTTTCTGTTATTTGAGAACAACAGATATTACCTGAGTCTCGGCAAAAGAATCTGTCCCATAAACTTGCAGACATCCTGGTTTAAAAAGCATCCATAAGAAATACAAGTTTGTGTGGCACTCTCCCAGTTACCAACACTGTTCATAACAACGGGTTCCTGGACTAGCAGGCGAGTTACCTGTGAAATCCTAAATGGAGGGTGTACTGTGTCAGGACTAGGTTCTCGGTCACCAGATTGTAGCTGTGGGCAAACCCTGGATCCTGCTCAGTCACAGCTGGAATCAAACACGTTTCTTTTTCCAAGCCTTGAAGAAATTAAAAGCACCAGTGAATTGACCCTGCCCTGCTGGGTCTGGGAAGGGGACTTCAGTGCAGTCAGAAAGACCCAGCTTGGTGTGGGTGATATTTTAACCTTTCAGCTTCTCTTGACTCCACCACAGCCCACCTAATTTGTTGCCTCCTTTTCCTCCTGAAGAGACAGGAGGTATCGTTTTGTAGGGGAGACAAAGTGCACATGAGCCCATATGGAATCAAGGTGAGCCTAGCATTTCTAGCATACCTACCTTTCAGATGCACATTCTTACTTCTCCTCTCCTCTTCAGTCAGCTCTTTCAGGGCACAGTAGGTGGGGTCGAAGGTGAGAAGCCTAGGAGATCTGGGCTTGCAGAATGGCTGGCACAGTTTCAGGAGGGCAGCCCCTAGATTCAGAAAGAAGGCATCCGAGGCATACATCTGGAAGAAGAGCTCCGGCATCTGGTTAGCCCAGATTTTGGTACGGCCTGCATTAGCATGGAGACAGTTTCCAAGCCAGGACAGAATCCTGTGCTTGGTCTCTGGAGAGAGCTGTAACAGGTTCTTCAACATCTGGTAGATTTTCTCATGGAACTGGGCCATAAACTGTTAATAAAAAAACCAAACCGTCACTGAAGGAATTTTTGAAAAGGTCCATTTCACTTGCACTTTTCAAGTTGGTCTGAGAGCTCCTAGGTCATCCTACTCTTCTTAAGAACATAAGAACGGCCGTACTGGGTCAGACCAAAGGTCCACCTAGCCCAGTAGCCTGTCTGCCGACAGTGGCCAGCACCAGGTGCCCCAGAGAGGGTGGACCAAAGACAATGATCAATCGATTTGTCTCCTGCCATCCCTCTCCAGCCTCTGACAAACAGAGGCAAAGGACACCATTTTATCCCCTGGCTAATAGCCTTTTATGGACCTAACCTCCATGAATTTATCCAGCTTCTCTTTAAACTCCATTATAGTCCTAGCCTTCACAGCCTCCTCTGGCAAGGAGTTCCACAGGTTGACTACACGCTCTGTGAAGAAGACCTTTCTTTTATTAGTTTTAAACCTGCTCCCCATTAATTTAATTTGGTGTCCTCTAGTTCTTCTATTTAGGGAACTAATAAATAGCTTTTCTTTATCGGCCCTCTCCACACCACTCATGATTTTATAGACCTCTATCATATCCCCCCTCCATCTCCTCTTTTCTAAACTGAAAAGTCCCAGTCTCTTTAGCCTCGCTTCATATGGGACCCGATCCAAACCCCTAATCATTTTAGTTGCCCTTTTCTGAACCCTTTCCAAGGCCGAAATATCTTTTTTGAGGTGAGGAGACCACATCTGTACACAGTATTCATTCTTAGGGCATGCCTTCCCTGCTGCTGGGAGCTAGCCTCCTCGCCCAGCTGGACAGACTCAGACTCTGATAAAAGTAGCAGTGTGGATGTTGCTTCCTCAAGCTAGCCACCTAAGTCCAAACTTACCTGTCCCTTGGGTCTGTGCTCAGGAGGCGCGCCTAAGTTGTGGGTCCACACAATTATTTTTAGTGTGCTAGCTCGGGGGCGCGGGGGGGGAGGGTTAGTGCGAATCTGGTGACCCCATGCTAGGAAGCATGCTCCCAGCTGAAGGGCAGGCATACCCAAAGGTGCTTACTTGTAGCTCCCATGACCCCTTAACATTGTCCCGTCAAAGACAACATATGGTGAATACAGCAACCCTGAAGCCTACAGATAAAAGCCAGGAAGACATGCTAAGAAATACAATGAATTGTTTCAATGGAAAGGAAAACCAAAGGTTTTTATAGGTCGCTGGGAGGAAGAATGATTTTGTAGTAGGGCACATGACTGGGAGCCAGTTGATGTGGGTTCAGGCTCTCTATGGGGAACCTTTGTACTTGTACTCGCTAAGATTTTGCACTGCTGCAGCACTTTCCACACGAGCGATTCAAAGCATGTTACCCATATGAATGGAGTTATTCTCCCAACACCCTGTGATATCTGCACTATCCTTATTGTACAGGTGGGAAAACAACATCCCAGTACACAGAGGTGGAGTGGCTTGCCCAAAGTCACGCAGCCATCCTATGACAGAACCTGAACAGAGCCCAGATCTCCTGAAATCCATTACAAGGGATCCTTTCCTTAGCCAGGCACACTGGAGTTCAGTATTAGAAAGTGGTACTTCAGCTCCACCTGATGAATGTTGGACTCCTGCACTTTGATCTCTTGTGGGCTGGATCGGGATGGATTCAGAAAGTAGCTATGACTCTCCACTACACCCGGAGTTTTCAGCAAGCAGGAGATGCTCAGGATGACTCCTAGCAGAGTCTTCTGGTACAGTTGCCCATTGGTGGGGTCCTTTGGTTGAATGTAGTCTACAAAAACCTAAAGAGACAGATGATCTGCATGCTACTGTTCATATACGCATAAAGAGAGCCTGCTGACTTGGGAGCGGTCAGAGATCAGTAGGAGTAGTTTAATAAAGAAGGAATGGGGGGAACAAATTATTTCATTCTCTCTTTTGTTTTTTCTCATAGAGGATCAAGATAGATACATATAGGATGTGTGAACCAGGTAGGACACTGCATGCACAATCCCTTAAAAGCTGAAATGCGTGGGTCGTAGCAACACACTTCAGAGTGCACATTTACCAGAGCAGAATGGGAGCCCTGTCCAATTCAGTCTGTCATTCAGTAACAAAGCCAAGCAAAAGCCATTAGCCACTGCACAGGAAGACACATCTACATCAGACTCACTGGCCCGTGGGTGTATTCAGTATCAGAGGGGTAGCCGTGTTAGTCTGAATCTGCATAAACAACAAGAAGTCCTGTGGCACCTTATAGACTAACAGATTTCATCAGATGCATGCAGTGGAAATTCCAGAGGCAGGTATAAATATACAGGCACTATGTGCGTCTGATGAAGTGGGTCTTTGCCCACTAAAGCTTATGCTCCAATAAACCTGTCAGTCTATAAGGTGCCACAGGACTTAGGATCATAGAACTTCTCGTTTTAATTTGGGTGTATTCAGTTGCTTTCCTTGTTGGCAAACAGTAAGGCTCAGAGTTAAAGAGCCACAAAAAGTGAACTCTCTTCCATATAGAGATAGCCTTTCTGGGGCGATGGCAGTGGGAACTTGCTCTGCTGTTGCCTATGCAGCACTTTTCCAGTGGATAGCTGACATCTGTTACCAGCTCTCCAACATGCTTACCTGTGCTATAGCTTTCTGTCTGGTGAAATAGAGGAGTATATCCAGATACATGTACAGTAGGATCTGACAAAGGTCCAGGTCCTTGATTCGACCCAACAGAATATCAAACACAGGAACCATGACCTCCCCAAATGTCCGTACTTCCTCATCCATCGTCAAGGCTTCTATGACCTCCTCAAGAAACTCAGTCACATCTTCAAAATCTAATTAAAGAAGAAAAGAGTGTGTGTGTGTGGGGATAGGAGGGGAGGGGAGGGGGGAGAATAGAAAAAACACATTTAACAGAAATACTCCAAGTATTTTTAGTGGCTTCAGCCCATTAATATCTCACTACAATCCCTCACCAGTATGATAAAACACCATACTGTCAAATACTAGCCATGGGCTGCCTGGATTAGCTGATGTTTGAACAAGCCATAGCTAGAGAGTCCTGTGACCCTGACTGCTTAGGGATAAAATTAATCAAGAGATAAGAATTCTCAACGCAGTATTAAGCAGAACCAATTGTGCTTGATAAGGAGATTAAAAACATGCTTATCACTGGACACATTTCCCTGCAGCCAAGTGGTCAGCATTGTATTTTCAGAGGGCATAAGGACATTAACTAAAGGTATCTGAACTGCCCCATAGATTTTTAAATCCTTTATAAAAGAGGGGGGCCTCAGTGTTTTATTCTGCAAATACTAGGGATATTAAATATCAGTTAATTGAATAGTCGATTAATTCTTGAATAACTCATGAATTCTTATTGGTTACTCAACTATTCTATAGTCCCTGGGGGTGGGGCTGGCAGCCAGTGCACTCCAGCTCCACTCCCAGGGAGCCCCTACCACAATGTGCTGCTGCCCCTGTATCAGAGGCAGCAGCACAGGGTGCCAGGTGGGAGCTGCTCCACAAGGAGAGCCGGTTTAAAAACCAGCTCCCCTTGCGGCCCAGCTGCCTGCCACCCCAACTGCTGCCTCTAAATACAGAGGCAGCAGCAGCCGCCATGGGGTGGCAGCACCCCCTTTCTGGGGTGAGGGAGGGGGGATCTGAGCTCCTGGACCCAGCATGAGCCAGAAGTAAGCTGAGCTGCCTGCTTGGCTCTTTATACACTTTAAATGCAGAGCTGCAGCAGGGGCAGGTCCTGGACCCAGCACAAGCCAGGACTGAGCTGAGCCTTACTGTTTGCCAACAAGGAAAGACCCACTTCATCAGGGACAGAGCCATAAAAAGTGAACTCTCTTCCATATAGAGATAGCCTTTCTGGGGCGATGGCAGGGGCATCCAAAAAAGCAAACAGCAGATTTGTGTTGAAGAGGACTGAGCTGTTTAGAGGCTCCATCCCATTTCTGGCTCGACTGCCTCCTGTTCACAAGTCAGGTCTATCCAGAGAGCTTAAAATATTAGTTAAGATTCCTGACCTAGTCAGATGATCTTTTTCTAAGATGTCTGAACAGCTTATTTTTATTCCCTGCTCCTTAGATAACTTGTAAGTTTGGATTTATAGTGTGTGAAATCTTGGCCCCATTCAAGAATGGCTAAACTCCCTTCAACTTCAAGGGCACCAGGATTTTACCTATTATGTTTACAAAAAGACAAGACAGAGTTAACTTAAGTCAGCTTTGCACTCACCATGGTCTCTATTAGTGGGGTCAGTTTGCCTTGCTAGCATCACCTGGTCTTACTTTCGCTTTGAAATTTTTCTAAAGGCAAACTTCCCCCTATTAGTCTTAAAGAAATGCCTAGAGTATCTTCTGCTTACATGGCTCACTTGATTTTCAAAGTCAAGCTTGGACCTTAAATAGCAGAGGAACTGGGCTTGTTATGAAGTGGAAAGGAAAAGCAATAATATTTGATCATCTGAAACTAACTCATCCACCAGGAGGAGGAGGCGTGTCTATAAACTTACGTGCTCCTCTCAGTGCCTCCAGCATCAGGTCCACCAGCTGCTCATAGACATTCTGGTTGACATAGATCTCTGAGGTAAGGAGAACAGTGCGAGTGTTCGACACAGTCAGGTTCCTGCAGCGAACTGCAAAGGGGAGCAGGTTCTCTGGCACTTTGGTTATCTGCACAGAGAGAGACAGCGAGACAGAAGGAATTATGTCCCCGAAAGCGTACTGGTATATGTGGATAGTCCACCAGCTTACTGATCTGACATGAGTAAGTAGACTGCATATGATGCTATTTCATTTTCCCAAAGCTGCCTACCTACCTCTTCCTTTGCTCTCTGGAAACAGGCATATAGATAACGAAGAATCTGTTTTTCTCCTGCATCTCTATCTGCTGAAAGATTCTGCGTGCTGACACAGGTCATGTAAATCAGGTGATTTCCTGGCTCTTGGAGCAGCAAGCGGGTGAAGAGTGCCTAGACACATAATTAAATATACTGAAAACACAGAATCCCAAGTATCTAAAGTCACGATCCCCGCCCTCCCAACAAACTGTTTTTTGCCCGTTAGGCTTTCCTTCCCTGCTGAGAAATGAAAAGAATTTAGGGACAGACCAGGGGTTCTCAGACTTTTTCCAGTCTGCCAGGCCACCAGCTTCTTCATCCACCTTCAAACTTTACAGCTCTTTTACTAATAGGCATCTGTGCCCTTTGCCAACAAAGCTGGCAAGCGTCAGTCTGACTCTGCAGTCAGATGAGCCCATCTGCTTACAATGTTTTGATGAGGTGAAGAGTGGCAGAGCGGAGTACTGGAGCACCAACTCCCACATGCCTGCTCTTATAAGCAAAGGCATTCTCACCTTCCAGGAGGTGGACCCAGCATATTAAACTGCAGGAGTGACAGAGAAATTCGTAGTTAAAGAATGGCTAAAATCCCTTCACTATACTCCTAATCTGTATCTTCCCATTTAGTCTCTCACACTGGCAGCAGACTTTCTGCAGCCACTAGGAGGAGCTAGTATTGGGAACCCATAAGCATTCCAAAGTCCCTAGCTACATAAGCCTAAAGTTACCGCCAGCCCAATGGTCACAGGCGGCAGCAGCACATTAGACAATTAGTGAGCAAGTCTGCATTTGCAGGTAAACTCTTACATGCTGGGCAGGGAAGGAGCAAACTATAAGTTACAATTAGCTGCTGATAGCCAGATTTTTGGTGCACTATAAGAACTAATAGCATCAGTAAATCTCACAGCAAAAGCTGTGAACAGAAGCCCAATGACACCTGCTCCATTTGGCAAGGAATAATTTCCATTTGGCAATTGAAATGAATAGGTAGCAAGTTTAAAGCAAGCAAAAGGAAGTTTTTCTTCACAAAGCACCAGAATGCAGCCAGTTTGGCTCTTTAGAGCAACTGCATTCCAAATCAGACTACCAAAAGAAGGTCTATTGTTAGCCTAGTCTAAAACAAACAAACGAACAAGCTGAGCTCGCTGGTTTCTCAGTAATGTGCACAAGTTCTCTTCCTCGATCATTAATGTTTTTATGTGTAGCTAATCTTTAAATAGGAATCATTAAACACCCATTTGGGACTGGACCTTCGAGGGGATGCTCTGCAATCAGGAACCTGCTTATTATTCACTGCACCTTCCTTAGCTTAGGACTGCCAGATACCAACCTGAGAAAGCTGACCGAAAAATGGTGATACCTGTTCAATGTTTTCCATGTCAAGCCAATCTTGTTCATCCAGATCTGCAGCCATTTCCTCCAGGTACACACAGCGAGCAGGAATTCCATTGCCACTCTTCATACTGGGATCACCTGGGGAAAATCAAATTCACTTCAGAGCATCACAAATCATAGAATAGAATCATAGAATAATAGGACTGGAAGGGACCTCAAGAGGTCATCGAGTCCAGCCCCCCCGCCCTCAAGTCAGGACCAAGCTCCACCTACACCATCCCTGACAGATATCTATCTAACCTGTTCTTAAATATCTCCAGAGAGGGAGATTCCACCACCTCCCTTGGCAATTTATTCCAATATTTGACCACCCTGACAGTTAGGAATTTTTTCCTAATGTCCAATCTAAACCTCCCCTGCTGCACTTTAAGCCCATTACTCCTTGTCCTGTCCTCAGAAACCAAGAGGAACAAATTTTCTCCTTCCTCCTTGCAGACAGCACATTCAGTGCCGTGGACCCTGCCTGCTATAGGGAGCTAACAGCTATAAACAGCTACCAAATATCAAGCTCTTGAATGGGCTGAAAATCAAAAAAGGATCCTACACAAAATGGAAAAAAGGAGGGATATGAAAAAATAGCACAAGGAGAGACAAAACACAGAATAAGGCACAAAATGAGTTACATCTACCAAGGGACATAAAAGATAATAAGAAATTGTTTAAATACATAAGAAGCAGGAGAGATGAGAGGGAATTGTAGTTCCTCATCTTAAGGAATTACAAGCTAATAACTGATGACATCAAGGCTGAGTTATTGAATGTCTATTTAGCTTCATACTTCACTGAAAAGGTTAATGATGATCAGTCACTCAATGCACTTTTAACACCCTAGGAAAAGAACAGGTTAAAGAATATATAGGTAAGTTAGATGTATTCAAGTCAGCAGGCACTGATGACATTCATTCTAGGATACAAAAAGTTATTCTTCAGCTCTGCTCTGCGCTGATTAGGCCTCAGTTGGAGTTCTGTGTCCAGTTCTGGGCATCGCATTTCAAGAAAGATATGGAGAAATTAGAGAAGGTCCAGAGAAGAGCAACAAAAATGAATAAAGATCTAGAGAACATGACCTATGAAGGAAGACTGAAAGAATTGAACTTGTTTGGTTTGGAAAAGAGAAGATTGAGAGGGGACATAATAGTGGTTTTCAGGTATCTGAAAGGGTGTCACAAGGAGGAGGGGGGGAAATTGTTCTCCTTGACCTCTGAGGATAGGACAAGAAGCAATGGGCTTAAACTGCAGCAAGCGAGGTTTAGGTTGGACATTAGGAAAAACTTCCTACCTGTCAGGGGGGTTAAACACTGGAATAAGTTGCCTAGGGAGGTTGTGGAATCTCCATCTCTGGAGATATTGAAGAGCAGGTTAGGTAGACATCTATTCGGGATGGTCTAGACCAGTGGTCCTCAATGCAGTGCCCGCGGGGTGTTTATCTTCACCCGCTGCATGATCTGGACTGGCCCGCCCTGGCGCGTGGCACATGCGCGGTGCCGGCTCCGACTGCGCGGCGCATGAGTGGCTCCCCCTCCGGACGCATGACGTGTGAGTGGCCCCACCCCATGGCACCCAGCAGCCCCAAAATGTTGGGGACCACTTGTCTAGATCAGTGTTTCTGAAAGGGTTCCGCGGAATCACTTTGAGAAACACATTAATAGGCTGCCCCGGTTTATTTACCAGCTCCGCAGCCACGGAGCCTCGCGGCTCCCATTGGCTCCATTTCGCTCTTTGCAGCCAAGTGGAGCAGCGGGAAGGTTTCAGAAACACTGCTCTAGACAGTACTGGGTCCTGCTGTGAGGGCAGAGGACTGGACTCGATGACCTCTCGAGGTCCCTTCCAGTTCTAGTGTTCTATGATTCTGTGCTACGTAAGGAATTACCGAAGCAATCTCGGTATCATTAGCAATTATCTAAAAGAACTCAAGGAGAATGGGTGATGTCCCACAGGACTGGAAAAGGGCAAACATACCTATCCTTAACAAGTGGAACAAAGAGGACCCAGGGAATTATAGACCAGTTAGTCTAACCTTTGATACTGGATCAAATTAGTAACCAATTAATGTCATTCTCTAGGTCAGAGGTTCTCAGATTAGGGGTCATACTCCTCAGGAGGTTATTATATGGGGGACTGCAAACTGTCAGCCTCTCTCCACGTGTGGAATAGATTTTGTTATGTGCACTGAGGCACGTGCTCCATGTCTGCAGTTTATACTACTATGAAATATATAAAGAAGTGTTTAGCCTGGGATCAACATTCCCTTTACACTGTATGCTTGTGCAGCCACTCAGGAGAATTTCCAGTGCCGACCAGCTGATTAGCAGAGCTCCCAGAGCTAGATTGGTGTTTCTCCTGATGGTGCACATTCGCACATGTGGTCAGCTTTGTATTATTCAGTATTTTCATTAATGACTGGAATAACGGAAGAGAGAGCATACATAGAATTATACAGAAGACACAAAGATGGAAGTCATACAAGCAATTTGGAGGCAGAATTAGAAAAAATGACTGACAAGTGAGAGAATTCATCTGAAATCAACAAGATGAAATTCAATAAAGACAAATGCAAAATACTTCACTTGGGAAGGAAAAATCAGGGACATAAATACAAAACAGGGAATAAGTGGCCAGACAGTAGTACAGCTGAGAAGGATCTGTAGGAAATAGTGGATCACAAACTGAATATGAATCAACAATGCGATGCAGTTGCAAAAAAGGCTAGTATCAATCTGGGGTGCCCTAACTGGACCATCTAGCTAAGATGCAAGATACACAGGTAATTGTCCTACTATATTCAGAACTGGGGAGGCCTCAAGGAGGCTATTTCTGAGAGTCACGCTTAAGGAAAGATAAATGAGAGAGCCCAGAGCAGAGCAACAAAGTGATAAAAGGCTTAAAAACCTGACGTATGAGGAAAGGTTAGAAAACTGGTGTATTTAGTTTTGAGAAAAGATGACTAAGGAGGGGCCCTCTTACAGCCTTCAGCTATGTTAAGGGCTGTTATAATAAGGACAGTGATCGACTGTCCTCCATGTCCACTGCAGGTAGGACAGGAAGCAATGGGCTTCAACTGCAGCAACAGAAACTTAAGTTATATATTAAGAAAAGCTTTCTAAATATAGCTGTAGTAGAACAGTTGGACGACCACCTATGAGGGATGGTTTAGGTTTATTTGGTCCAGCCACAGCATAGGGGTAGACTTAATGACTTTAAGGTCCTTTCCAGTCCGACATTTCTATGAAATGTTGAATAAGTCATTCCTTCAAGTAAATCACCCATCAAGTAAATCACTTCCCATCTGATCCCTACAAGTGAACTTCACCAAATAAAGGGGCAAACAGCAGCACCGACTGGGGCTTTAGAAAAGCAAGATATGAACTATAACCTAGCTGCATGGTCATGCCAAGTGGGGACAACACAAATCCCACTTTAGCGCTTTACATTTCAGGATGGATTGATTCACATCACCAAGTGGAAAGTCTCAATTTCAATGATCACTTTTTTAATCAAACTTTTCCATTTGCCGTGCATAACTACTAAACCAACTAAACAGAGTCTGTGCACTAGATTTGTTACCTCTTTTTGCTGCCCAGGAGGGTATGCTATTATATGCTGCCTAGGAGGGTAGTCTTATTAATTGTACATTGTTAGTATGTTAGAAAATGAAGAATGATGGGAAGAATAAAAATATTCATAATTTGAGCTCATTCAATCAGTTTTCAGGTAGAGTGAAGCTATGCAACAAGAGTATGAGACCACCAAGATAGGCTCAGTGAATGTTCCTCATGGAGATAAGTGATAGTATCTGCTAGTCAGAGGCGAGGTCCCAGAGCCTAGGATGACTCTGCCAGTCTCTTACACCATGTAGCACAGCTCAAGTCCCCCACAGAATCGAGCCTTTGAATACGTGACCTATCGTGTCATATTTATAAAGCTTGACCCCCAACGTTAAAATGGTGGTGGGACGAGGAAATCTCTATGTAGAAAAGCAGCCATTAACTCAAAGTTTTTGACAGAGGTTCATGGATCCAGCATATTTATTTTTTATTTAAAATGTTTTAAGAAATAATAAATGTAGGCCATAGCATACTGATATTAAATTCAGATTTCACTTTAAATGGGCTGCTTTTTAAAGGAAAACTAAATTAATTTTTAAGTTGGTTATTTATTTAAAAAATATTGCTTTTCATCCATGCTGTTTTATTCGGATTTTTTCATAACACTGCACACAAACCTCAGAAATTAAAATTAGGTTCTAAGCTCTTCAGGGCAGCGACTGTGTCTACCTGTGCGTTTGTACAGTGGCTAGCAAAATGGAACCTTGATCCTGCTTGGTGTCTGGGAATTCATAAATAATAAAAATAATAATAATGTCAGATGTATGTGACTGCAGTCATTAGTCTGCACACTTGGTCTCTACCAAACAGCCAAGACTGCCTCAGACTAACACACACTCATAACTTCACCCATGGCTGAACTACTCTGCCTGTCAAATAAATCTTGTAACCCAGAGATTCCGCTGGATAATACGAGTCTTCACGGCATGTAGACTCACTGTTGTCGAGGGTGATAAGGAAGATCCTCTGGATCATGTGATTGATGTTGAGCTGTTCACACAGCTCCTGCTGGGAACGGAAGGAGCGGCTGATCTCAGACACAGAATAGTCACAGTCATCCAGACTCTCTGACACACTGTTATCTGAGTCATCTTGACTGGCTGAGGTTTCATCTGCTAAAAAAGAGACGATAGTAAACAAACACATCTCAAGCCATTAGCACTGTAGCATGAAGGGTAAGCAGTGTGTCTCTGGGAACAAAAAGGGGCTGAACTAACCAAGGGAGCACTATCAGTGACATGCACAAGTCTTTCCCATCTTTGGCCTCCCCTGATTTCAAACCACAGTGCTTAGCTTTCTGCATGCCAATTCATAATTATTCATTATGTGGCAAGGACAGCAGCGAGCCCACTATGGGTATGCTGTCATGTACACCACATTGTACCACCCTGCTCAGAGCAAAGTTATACCACAAGTTGTGTGTCCTGTCTATACACTATATACATCTATTACCAGCAATACTGGCACTATCTTGGAGAAGGTTACAAGCCCATAAACTGTATGCATGCCAAGCTGAAGAATTAAGGAAGCAATGGCATTTTGTTTTGAAGGATACAAAGTGGCATTTAAAATATTTATTGTCTCCGTGAAAAGGCTGTCTCCACACTGGCACCTGTCAAACAGTGCAAGTCTTTGAACAAGCAGCTTAAACCTTTTGTGTCTGATAAATTGCAACTGTAAAGCAAAGTAGCCAAGTGTCCCAACAAAATAAGAGAGACTGCGGGTAAGTAACAAGCCACCCTGTTCATTCAGATTGGTCGGTGAACGGCCAGGGAGACATCCACACCATTTTCCAAGCATCCGCCTCACTTCTACAACTTGCCTTCTACAATGGTGCATGGCTCAGTTCCCATTCCCCCTCCCTGTCTCCCAAAAAACTCCCATCTGGATACAGGTAAAGCAAGAGTATGGCTTTAAATAATAATATTTGGCCATTACACACTAATGTCCATCTTTAGAACAATAATTCATAGACTTCCTGTGATGCGGCTGATATCATTATTCCCATTTTACACATGGGATGGGAAAATAGCAGCAGCAAGATTGATGCCGGCACCGACAGCTCCCTATGCTCAGGGCCTCTGGAAAAAAAAAAAAAAAACCAGGACACGCCCCACCTCCAGCTGCTGACTTAGCCTCCCTCCCTTCAGCTGATACCAGCTCCAGCTCTGGGGAATCTGGTGGCGGCTGCCTGGCTGCTCTTAGGGTGAGCGGCTTGCTCTGGGACTGCACTGCAGCCCGGCTGTTCTCGCCCTGGCTGCACAAGTGCATCACTGAAGTCAACTGCAAGTCCCATAGTGGATTCAATGGGCTTTGGATCAGGCCTCAAGCGCAAAGTAAGATGCTATGCCGAGATACAAATAATACTCTGGGCTGCCACACTACAAATGTCCAGGCCTAAAAAATATTGCTCTTCATGGATGGTCCCAAATCTGCCCAAGGTACTGAACCTGAATAGTAAACACATACCACAATATCGTAATCTCACAGGTATGCTATCAAGAAAAACCTTTTGCAACTAGAGCTGTATTATTTGGCCTCCTTCCTCCTCTTACCAGTGAGTTGCCTCAGCTGCTGTTTTTGGACTGATGCAAACTGCTTGGCATCAGCTAGAGAGCTGAAGAGGGCTGCAAAAGGGTTACTTGAGATGCTGTTGTTATTCTCTTGGTCTGTCATTTCACTTTAAAGTATACTCCATTCAGACATGGGGAGAGGGGCTAAAGAAAGAACAGGTATGAAAATCACAATACAGTGGTTAATAGTAGCAGGTACACTTCTTACAGTTCAAAAATAAAACCAGAAGTGCTTCAGTAGGGAAGATTTTTCAAGAATTCAAGATTTAAGACAATTTAACTACAATATCCAAGAACCCACCAATAAAATAGCAAGTTCTGCTTTCACAGCTATTAAACCCAAAGGAGTACACAAGTGCTCTACCTTGGTACCTTTTTTCAATGTTTAACTCATTAAAATTAAGCACTGAACTGAAACTGAAGAGCAAGGGAATTCACGTACGGATGCCTCACTGTGCCAGGATTTTGTTAAGGTAATTTAGCACCTGTTACACTGAGTGGTCTTACATGGAAACAATCCTGCATTACCAAGCGACAAAAAACATGCCTATACTAGTTTATTAGTTGGGAAACCACATCCATGGTGAGAATACTAATGGGGACAGGACACAGATGTTTTTACAGCATTGTCGTGAAGATCTGCTATCACAACTAAGAATGCTGGGATCTGGCTTATGCTAGCACTCCTGCCACTGCAGCAGTAGGGGAGCTGCACAATGGAGAGAAATTCTGTAGTGAAAACTCAGTGCAGGAGTACCCAAAGAGGCCAGCAAGCTCAGTTCATTTTTGATCTTACTAAAGCTGTGTATTCATCAGAGCATACAAACAGATACAGCATTCAGCAAACCACATCACCTGTCTCGCCCTACAGAAATACAGGTAGTATAGAAAGAAAAACAGCTTCAGTTTAGCCTAGAATTTTGCTGTTTTGCCATGGCACCTAATATGTAACATATACTGCCAGATTTGGGTTTTACTGGTGGCAGTATTTCATTTATTGCCATAATTCATTTCCTAGCCATGGCTGTTCCTACACTGGATAATATAATATCCCTGTCAGACTGAATGAGCAATTATATATAAATACACTCTTCTAGACATTTCAAGAGACCATGGATCACAGTTTGTGGAATACTGCTGTGCACAAGCCAATCTAGTGCAAAGCCAAAGGGTAAGCTCACTCAGACTGTTTACACAGCTAATACCTGCAGAAAAATTCAAGGACTCAAGGTCACAATAGCACTAATTGCATTCCCCCTTTTTCCCCTCAGTAGAGAGAGTTCAAGCTAGTGAAAAAAAATTAGTATTTTGGTTTATATGTATGGAAATACATGCTAATGTTTATTATATAGTAAAATGTCATTCAAATGTCTGCTCTGACAGATATTCCCTCACTCACCGTTTGCTCTAACACAGGGGTGGACAATAAATGACCCATGGGCCAGATGCAGTTCTCCAAGATTAGCCTCAGAAGGCTGCCAGGCACTTCATTTCCCTGTGCAGCTGCAGAAATGGGCCTCTCGCAGCTCCTTTTGGCAACAGTTTGCCATTCCCAGCCAACGGGAGCTACGGGAAGTGGCAGCCTGACCTGAACTCCTTTCCATAGCTCCCCCTGGTCAGGAATGGTGAACTGTGGCCAACAGAGGCTGCAAGTGGCTGAACCTGAGGCCGTGCAGGTAAATAAAGTGTCTGACGGCTAACCGGGGGCTAACCCTGGTGAACCACGCCTGGGCCGCTTACTGCTTACCCCAGCTCTAACAGCTCTAGTACAAGCCAAAAAGACAATATTCCACAGGCTCCATGTATGATGCTTTGATGTACTGATGCAAATAAATAACATATGATAATACTATAAGATTTATTTGGCATATTTATAACCAGTGGATTTTGTAGCCAGCTAAGCTGCCTACAAACTGCAGATGGAGCAAAGCCAAAAAAAAAGAAAAGCTAGAAGTTCAATATTGTACAGAAGTGACTCCCAACATTCTTCTGGAGAACACCCCCTTGAAAAAGACTAATATGCCTGCCTCATGCCATGCACCACGGGTAGCTGCATTTTTCTTTCTTTCTTTCTCTCCTGCCCGTATCTACATCTGGGCTCTCTGTACGTTCTCTTGGCTTTCTAATTGTTTTTGTTCTTACTTTGTAGCTCTCTCCTCCTCATTTACTCCAGGTTAGCATATACAGGCAGTCCCCGGGTTACGTACAAGATAGGGACTGTAGGTTTGTTCTTAAGTTGAATCCGTATGTAAGTCGGAACTGGCGTCCAGATTCAGCCGCTGCTGAAAGTGATCAGTTTCAACAGTGGCTGAATCTGGATGCCAGTTCTGACTTACATACAGATTCAACTTAAGAACCCCAGGCATCCCCAAGTCAGCTGCTGCTGAAACTGATCAGCGGCTGATTCCAGGAAGCCCGGGGCAGGGGCTT